TTTTTTAAAGATGAGCATTATATTTTCCTTTTTTTTTTTTTACAAATCTTCTGGAGCGTCACACATCCGATGGAAGTTCTCAAACACAAACCATCATGTCTCCCAGATTTTTTAATCTGGTTACCTAATTACTTTCAGTGAATTTCATCATGTCAAGACAATCTGAAAACCTCGTTTTTTACTCTAGAATCAGAGCTAATCATTGCTGTTACGGTGTTACCAGGATGATTATAGTTAACGGTAGCTATTTAGTACAGACATTAACCATGTTTTTTTAATTGTTAATTTGATAGATTTATTAGGTCTGTCCTTCTGAACAATCAAAAAGTTATTAAAATAATAATTTGCCCTGGTGAAGCGTAATTTGCGTTTGCTATCTTTAATTTAGTTCCAACAAAAGACAAACAAACAGAAGGAGGAGGAGATCTGACACGCACAGCCCTGGTATATTAGAAACAAGATGAACCAGTAGGCCTTGTACCGTCTTGAGGAGTAGGTTTGAAAAGCCATTCTCTACCTTTGTATTACCTGTATTATTATGTCAACTAATCTATATATTCATTTACCAGATATATATATATATGGAGCCATAATCTGATAATGAACTTAAGGTACTGTTTTCCATTGGTCATCATAACTTCATTAACATATCGCAATAATATTATTTTGCTTAATCTTACTCTGATATTTTAAAATAGTAAAATAACTAACTCCTCACTAGCTCTTGAAAGATCCCGTTTTTATTTAGACAAAAATAAAGAAATGAGTTACTTATTTTTTCAGTATGACACTATCATAGATCTTTGATTACAGTCCTTTATCTCTTTCCCCAGACTGTTTTTACTGTTTCTTTTACAGCCCTCAGAGTTCCAGCAGTGTCAACCAGCAGCATCTCAGATGTCACCCTACCTCCCCATACTTCTACCTCACAAAAATTTGGGAACTTTTTATTTCACCTTTTATATACATCTACTGATAGAACTAATTAAATTAGTGTGGTTACTGTATGTTAGATCCTGTGTCTATTCTACATCGCCTTGTGGAGGTCAGTCCCAGAAAGCAAGCCCCAGAGAGTCCAGTTTGTAAAGAGCAATACAGAAACCAGCAGTCTTATTCAAGAGTTAGGTACTCTAAGGAGACAGTCAAGGCTTGAGACTTCTTTTTCAAAGTGCTGGGCTTCTGTTTCTGGACTAGAGGAGATGTTTCCCCTTGCTCAGAAGTCGTTGCTGCAAACTTGTTTCCGAGTAACATCCGAGCCAGACAGCACTCATCCAGGAGATGCTGCCTTTATGCCGTACCAAGAAAGTGCTGCTGTAGGTTGTGGCAGTTCCTGGCTAAGAGCAGGTCCATGAGCCTGCACGCGTGCCAGCCCTGGGATAGTGCATTAACCTCTGGGCCCTTGGGGTTACTCTAAAGTGGGCCTGTTTCATCCGTGCGTCCTCTCTTGCGAAGCTGTTCCTTACTCTACTTAAAAGGTTAAATATTGGTTGTGCATCTGTTAGCAGGGCACAGCTTGGTTCTGTAGCCTGGCACTCACCTGGAAGACAAAAGTTGCCTTTTCCAAACAGTGCTCAAGTGTTTTTATAAAATGTGGTACATCTTCAGTTGAAGGATTGAGCTCTGGGTTGGATGAGAGCCCAGTGATTAGCACACTTTCACCGGAATTGGACCTCCACTCAGGAAGATCAGTATCTGAACCTCTGCAATGAGTGCTCTCATCACTGGGATATTCAGTATACAGAAGTCATGTTTCCTCTGTCATGCGTATAGGGCTAATTACGTTAATAACATTCCTACCAGAGTCCTTCAGGTGATACAGAGGAGGAACGCTTTTAGTATTTGTACATGAGAGAGAGACTGATTTGCTCACTGGTGTCAAGTCAGGAATTTTACATATCAACAAAAATGAAGATGTCCAATGAATTTTACTTTGGCCAGTTTTGAACCTGACAATTTTTAGGTGCCTAAAGATTTAGATGGCAATGTGAAAAGGGATTTCAGGTTCCAGAGGAACGTAAACTGGAAGTGGTCTTACAAACTCCTGCTTGCAAATCTAACTTCATATATCTCAGAAAGGAAGGGAGGGAGCTAAAACAAATATATATCCAGTTCTAAAAATCCCACATGTGGCTCCATGTATATACTTTTGGAGCCTCCAGAGGCAGAAACAAGTTCGTTGGGGAATTTTCCTATTGTTTCTGACTAGTTTCGAATTTTGAATTAAAGTACTTCTTGCCGATTTATTTTGTAGGTGGAATAATTCAGAGGTGGTGGAAAGAATCAAGTATTCTTTTTGCAGAATAACTTTTGGTAAGAGCAGCAGTAGGTTGTACTTATTTAAAGGTCTACATTATTGCAGGAAATCTTGGCAGATGAGGATTGGTGGGTGAAATTATATATAGAGAGAGAATGAGAATATAAGCAGTTCTGTCAAGAGTTTCTTCAGTTTGTCCTCTGGATGAAGCAACACCATAGGTCCTGTGGGAAGAATTACCTAACTTTCTCATTGACCAACTAATCACAGCAGGACTAACTGGGCACTTCAGCCCACCGTCAGGTAAAATCAGAATCATAATTTTTTTGGAGTAACATTTTGTTTCCCCTTCTCTCTGTTTCTCTTGCACATATACATACACACACACACACACACACACACACACACACACACACGTATGTATGCTTGTGCGGGTGGTAGAATTTGCTCTTGGAATAAGATTAAGATCTGACATGGATCATCTACAAGCGATTGGAAAAGGGATATTCCTGTGGATTTGATGTATTCATTGCGTCTTGAAATGCCTTGCTTGGGTCTAGCCCTCTTCCTAAATAGTTAAGTCATGGCTCAAATAAAAGCTTGATACAGGAATCACAGTGTGAGGTTCCCTGGCTTTGTTATGTGGAAAGGAGGATTATGTTATCATAATGGCCTCTTCTGGGTGTAATAGTTATGAATCTGTTTCCAGGAGGGCATTTTACGCTTGTAAGAGAGGGTTTCATTGTAGAAGGGAGAGTTTTATGCATATCGAGGAACATATGCATAACCAGCTCTGCTTTGGAAAGATATACAGTGTGTTGAAATATCACACAAATGGATGACTCCAAATGGATGACAGCCGCCACCTCCTTTAAAGCAGTTCAGGTAGTTTTGTTCAAAGTTTTCCATGTCTAGGTATTTTATTGTACAAAGTCATTGGTTTTATAGATACCCTAGTTTTTCTGTAGATAGTGCATAAGGATCTCCAGAATTACAGTGCAAAGTCAAAGTGAAATATTAGGGAAGTCAAGGAATTTAGAGTTGTGTTTTCTAATTTCAGTGGAAGACATTTGTCTTCTCTTAGAACACTTTGATAACTGCATGTATTGTCTGTTGTGATTACCTTCTATGGTTTGGAAAACAAAGGAATCTATGGTGATAGGAGAGGTAGATAGTATTGTGTGATGTTAATGGCAGAATCATAGAACTAATTGCCTAAAAAGGGTTTTGGTGCCTCTAAACACAAGTCACTGACAGTTAAAGCCACAGACAGTGCAAGTTACAAAGAGTTGCATCCTGTTCAGATGCTAATCTGTGGCAGCCCATGGCTTTTAGAAAGAAGGCAAAAATGTGGCTTGCCAGCTCAGTCCGTGCAGCAGTAAAGAGTAGCACTTTGAGTCCATCGTCTTTCATCCAGAAACGCGTGCCTCTCTTACCCTGGCCCTGGTGCGGACAGCCCAGCAAGGGCCTGGTGCCTGAGTGCAGGTGGGGTGGCGCGGCGTGTTGGGGCACCTCTCACTGCAGTGTGTCGACTCAGCCTGTTCCGTCTCCCGCCTGCCTACAGCGGTCTCCTCCCCTCTTGCACGCGCGTGTGTGTACCCGTGCACGTATGCCGCTCGTACCCGTTCCTTGACAGCGTGTTTCTGTGCGGTGCAGCGGGGCTTTGGCTCTTTGTTCCTCGGCTGCGCCCTGGCAGACCACCGCGACTGGTTGCACACCTGTGCGTGTAGATTTGGGGGCTGGCACGCATCCTCTCTCCCTCTCTGCCTTTCTCATTTTGGCTTGGTGTGTAAAACTCCTTCCCTGTGCTGCTGAAAAGGACTGAGGTCTCTGATTAATTCCACTCTGATGTCAGACATGCGGCTCTGCTGGGAGGGATTTACAGGGCTGCATTTAAGCTCTCGTTTGCTGAGAGAATCCCTTTCTCTATCTCTTCCCTCCCTCCCTTCCCCCTCCCCATGCCCCCCTCCCTACCTCTCTTGAAATGTGTAGACATTTTTTTGTTGAAAGGGTCGCTAACGCTTGGGGTCTGTTCAGAGCTTTGCATTCCTTTCTCTCTCTTTACCACTGGATTTTTTTTTCATTCTTCTCATCTAGCTGCCGTTGAGGGCAGAGAGAGCAGCTTTGTTAAAATAGGACAATGAAATGCGTCCCCCCTCTTCTAATGACAGACCGTTACTTAGCAACGAGGGGGGGATTTTAACAGAAGATCAGAGCATCAGGATGAGGATATAAACTCTGCTATTCTCTCTCCCAGGAAACTTACCAAAGAGGCACCTTTCCTTTTGTCAGGCTTCTAATTTTTTCATACGAGAGGCAACTGCAAAGTCTCAGAGAGCGTCTTCCCTGATGGATGGCTGGCTGCCTCCCCCTGCACCTCCTCTGCTCAGGCGCTTCACTCTTCAGTTATATGCTAAGGGCATCATTTAAAGGGAAGCCCAAAGTGGGATCAGTAAGCTCCCTGCATGCGTATGCAGGTGACTGAGAAGGGGATCGGTGGGCAGACGGGTGATCCAGGCAGCCAGGGTTTACCCTCACCTACATATGGAGGGAAAGTAGCTTTCGTCTTTTTGTTCTGACTTTGGGCAAGGGAGGGAGGGAAGCAGATTGTGCCCAACTCCTTGCTGAGATGAAATGGTCGATGAGAAGAGGTCTCCTTGTCACAGTCACAAAGGCCACCTCCGCCTGGCAGCATGGTGCTGAAATCTAACCCTAGCATCATTCTCTTGTGCTCTTTCCTGCCCAGTGACTACATCATTGAGGAGAAGACGGCTGTGCTGCAGAAGAGGGAGCATGAGGGATTCGGGTTTGTGTTGCGAGGGGCCAAAGGTAAGGGCTGCTTATTTCACTTGGTCCTGGGGCTGGGAGGGGAAGCTCCTTCTCTTCACTTTTTATTAGTGCTCAGGACCCTGTTTCCTCTGGCTGCACATAGCAGCCCAAGAGCCCCTGTACATCAGGGTCTCTTAAGGGACTCCCTTTTCTCCTTGTCTCTCAGCTAGGCAGTGTGAGTACAGTTTAATTGTGGTTATGTGTGTTGTACAGAAAATGCCGTTCGTTGTAAGTGTGCATCTGTTGCACGTTCTGGGGTATTTTTCTGGTACAGATGCTGGAATTCTTAGCCTTGCATTTGTAAGAGTTTCCACTTCTGTCTATTTACTGGCCACATAAAGTGCATCTGCTCTGTGCTAGGTACAAATGCAAGCCCCTCTATGGCTCTATTTTTTTCATATACTTCAGTTTTTCCGTATACTTTTTATCTGTATAGGGTTGGGGATCCTTCTTCCGCCAGCTCTAGCAGTGTTGAGGTTTAGCCCCAACATGAGGGCAAGCTAGTAGACACCTATTCTGCAGCTGTCATGGTACCTTTGACCCTGTTCTGCGAGAACACCTCTGCTTGTGCCTGGGGCGAACTTTACCTGCACGCCCTGGAATACCTGTGCTCGTGCAGCCAGTACCTTAGACCGTTTTGTTATTGTAGCTCCTGTTACCGAGAACTGATGTTTTTGCTGCCAAAAAGAGAGTCCCTCGGGGACTAATAATGAATGTGTTCATATTCACATAGGAAATGAGCTTCCGCCCCTGTGCTTGGGAGTACCTGGAGGCAGATCCACCTCAGGCTAGAGGGTCATCTCTCCAGCAATTCCAGACTGAAGGCGAGGGAGAGGCTGTAGGCTTCTCAGAAATATAGCTATTGAAAGCAAAGGCATAATGGTGCGTGCTTCTGTCCCTTCTTTTCGTGTAGGATACAGGCTGTAAGAGGGAAAGCTTAAACGACTGGCTCCCAGCTCTTTCTGTAGAGCTACTCCTTTCCTAGACCTCAGTGTGGCTGAAGATCTTTTTAATTTGGACTTGAATCTTGAGTGTGATTTTCTGTAAGGATTCCTGAATTGTCTTTGTTCTGCATGTATCACGAAAGGGTTCTGTGCGCAAGTGGGTGTGTTTGTGTTTCTGTCAGAATATGGTTGCTGTCTCTCTCCTTCCCTCTCCCTCCTCTTCCCTGTATATGTGACATACATGTTCGTCTGTGTACTGCTCACGTCAGTCTGTATATTGTGAAGTGGAACTTCAGGGCTCAAAATGGCATCCATTTTTTGTGAGATCAGACTTGTCGATATTGTGTCAGGACAAAATGGGATAAATTTTGTGCTATTCCAGGTTTTTCTTCTTCTATTTTCCCTCTCAACATTTGTAGCCTCTGTATTTTCCTTTGTCTGCTGCGGCTGAAAGAGAGGACCTTGAGCAGATTGAACAGTGGGTGTGAGGCTGAGTGAGACTTAGGTATGGCTTACAGATTCACAGCCTGACACTGCTGCAGGGAGTAACTGAGAAGAGTTTGGCTGCAGAGCTCATGGCTTGAAAGCCCGTAGACTGTGGACATGGTCAGTGGTGTTGTCTCCTGGGACAGGGGTATTGGTGAGTCTGCTGAGGCCCTTTGGGGGAGCAGCATCCTTGGATGGAGGTGGCTGTTTTGAAACACCCCTTAGGCTCCCAGCCTGTCTGCTGCTGAGTGCTGTCATGGGGTTTAGGCTGGGAAGAGTGTTTAGATTCTCTGGCCTGGCCTGGTCTGTGTCAGCACTGCTCACACTTCATTTAGTCACTCTTTGGCTGGGTCAAGGGACATCAGTGAAACCCAAACCCTCCAGTCCTCTTGAGGTGAACTGGAGAGAGAGTCTGAGAACAGGAGGGGCTAAAGTGTCCGTAAAGTCCCTGCAGAGGGAAGGAATTGTTTTAGTGAGGTATGCCTGCGTGGTCCTCAAAGTAAACAGCACCTTGTACTGCAGAGAATGGTGAAAACCTTGCACAATCTCTGCTGGTCTTGTTGGGGGTTGGTTCCTTCCCAACCCCAAGTTTTCCTATTCACATGATGCTGCTCCATCAGCTGCACCTCTAGCAGAGAGAATGCTGTCTAGCATTTCAGAGAGCCGGTCCGCGCCAGCCCCTGTCCTGTCTCCATCTCTGTCCAGTACCTCAGAGGATATAATGTCCCAGTCAAATCAACCGAGCATTTGGGCAAAGATTATTTTCTGATCCCTGCAGGAGACAATCTGACATGGGATTTGCTTGCAGCCTTAGAAAATTATTTGGAGCAGATGGGAAGCAGTGTAGCAGCCCTGCACTCAACACCCATGAAGGAAAATGATGAGCAGGTGGATTTACTTATTCATTTCTTCATCCAGAGGCACAAACCCTGCCTTTCACATACACAGATGGTAGACCTGTGCTCAAAATGCTGAGAAATAATATTTCTTGCCTTATAAATCCTGAATTCACCAGAGTCATCCCCACAAAGTGAGGTTGTCACAGTTGATACAGTGACTGCATCTCACATAAGGTCCCACCATGCTACCAGTACCTTGAACAGAGGACTGTTACTACTAAGTTGGTTAATATTCGTTTGACATCTGATAGTGGTAGGTTCTGTAGAAGTGTTAGAAAGACGTCCAATCCGTGATTTGGGAATTTACTGTCTAAGTAAGGAGTATATAATTTTCTGAATGGCAAAAATATTACCAATAATTTGAATCGTTAAAAAAGAGCAGGAAGTGGCTCTAAGTCCTTGCTTCAGGGCATGAGCTTTCTGTTGACTACTTAGTTTGGGGAGGAACTTCCAGGATGGGCAGGTTGTTCAAGAGGTTTCCTGAGACTGTTGCTTCCTATAATGTTCATATTTTCTGAAGCAGCTGATCCTGTACGCTATTGGAGAGAAGATGCTGTATTGATTCAGTATGGGGCTTGTTTTGCTCCTACTTCTTTCCATAACGTTGCTAAACTCTTGTTTCTTTGCCATTTCTCCTAGAAAGCAAACATTTCATGAGTTTCACAAAGTGTACCTGCCCTGACTCGGAATGCAGCTCCTCTTTCCTGGTTTATACCCAGCTTGCCACATCTCTCAACTCTTGCTGCTTCCTAGAAAAGCCTTGCGCTCTGTCAGCTCTGCCTCCCCCCGGATGCCTTTTCTGCTGCCTGCAGCTCCACACCTTTTCCTGCTCTCCTTCTCTGCCTGGTACGGCTTTTCAAGCCTCTAGACAGTACAACACCCCTCACCCGCTTTTTAATATTCAGTGACAGTCCACACATTTGAGCTAGACTATTAAGGAGAGTTTGAAAAATCAGTAGATCACAGATCATAAAAAACAGTATCTATTTGTGGGACTCACCACGTTGCCTGAGGCAACCTCTGGAGGTGGAGGACGTTGCTGAGGCTAGGTGCTGCCTTGGCAGGTACTTACCTGTGTTCAGTTGCGTGTGCTGTCCCTGGCTTCCTCTGTGATCCTAGGCAGTGTGCTTGGGAGGAGCTGCCAGGTCCAGTGGGGTATAATGCAGAAACCTCTGTGGGGGCCAGATTAAACCAGTAAGTCACATGATGAAGCTGTCAAAGCTTATTAGCTTGGGCACAGCAATATATGAGTATAGCTGCGCTTTCGGGACAGGGTCTCTTGCTCCACATATGGTCTCAAGCTGTTCAAGCCTGGATTTCCTGCCAGGGACTATCTTGCATGACTGGCAGCTGGGTTCTGTTGGTGTAGGGGCTGCCAGATAATCCAGCGCCAATTGTGAGATATCAGCCAGTGTCAACATGAAGGGTCAGTCTGCAATTCAGCCCAGTCCCCTCCTGCTAGGACACAGCAGGATGCGGTGGGAGCCAGTGTTGTCTCCAGCCACTGCAATCTCTCTGGAGTACTCCCTGTGAACGTTTTATGTTTAGTATCATAGGAAAATTGGCCATTGTAACTGCACGGCTTCCAGTCCTGAGCTTGGAAGCTCATGCAGCTATCTCAAATGTCCCTGTGCCTGTTCCTAGTCATCAGATTAGCCTGTGCATAGCCAGCTCAGGATTCCTTCTCTAGCCATATAAACACAGTCATAATTTGCTAGTGATTCAGTTCTGAGGTTACGACCCAGTTCCTCATCTCACAGGGCTTTGTGAAGGTAAATGCGGTTGTAAGATGCTCAGAGAATATAGGGCTCAGGTTACGAAGGATCGATGTCATTTTAGGACTTTTCTGCTTCACAAACTCCCACTTGTCTTTTGCCATATTTTCTTTGAAGGCAGGTTAAAGTTAGATGTTCAGTATCAGATGTTTTTATTTTCATCTCTTTGTATAAAGAGCAGCCAGAGTGTTGAAACAACTCAATGCAAAGGTAGTACGCTAAAAAGTAAGTTTCAAGTGCCATCACAAGGGCTTGAGAAGTAGCACTTGGAGAGCTCCGTAGTTAGTACAGAGCTGATCTGGCTGTGATCGTAACTCTGAGACTAAGGGAGTAGAAATCCTCGGCCCCACAGCTTGAGGTGCAAGTACTTGATTGGCTCTGAATCAGTCTACTGCCACCCCAGATACCGTTATAGAAGAGATACCTGCTGTTGTTTGTCCTTGACAAACATATTATGTTCACGTGAATTTATGTTCACTTGAATAGTGCTTCTGGTCCAGTTTTGCATCAAATCTTAGCTTCCAGGGGTGTGGCCACTCACATTTTTCATCTCTTGACTTGTACAGGATATTTGGCCTTCACGTGCTGTCACTTGCTAGGGAGCTTGGGAGGTCCCTGAGCTGAAAATGCTTAAAACATGGGAGAGTCCTAGGGGGAAGCATCACAAAAGCTGCCCTCTTCCTATCCTGTTCCCTTAGCAGCTGCTTATTGCTGCTGTCAGAACCAGAATAGTGGCTTACGTGGACCTTTGCTCTGACCCAGTGTGTCTATTCTTACGTTTTTGTAACTTCTGACAGAACATAAACATTGGAGCCTGGGGGGGGATATAAATTAACCCCTTTCATTCTCTGAGAGACATCCTGAAGTGTACCAGTTTCCTGTTTTGATATTGAAAT